CATGAGATCTGCCAGATTGGCAAGTACCGATCGAGTCATAAAATGGGATTATCGGCCCATACCGATCTCCAGCTGATCAATCGAAGCATCCCAATAATAATAATAATAATAATAATAATAATAATAATAATAATAATAACAATGCTAATACTTTTAATAATAATAAATATATTTGTGCAAAAATGACATTTTCACAAATAATGTTTCACATGTTAAGTCACATTGTGTTAAACTTAAATAAATACTGCAAATAAAAGCTTGTTGATTTTAAGTATACTATACTATACATAAGTATTGAGTGTAACATCATGAGAGATTAACGTTTAAGAGGAAAAAGTCATATAAATTGTGTGATTCATAATTTAGCAGTTTTAAGCCACATTGAGATGGTTTGTGTCTTCTCTAAAATGTTGCAATTTCTGTAAAAAGCTTCATTGTGAACGATATAAACTTGCATTTATACAAAAAATAAGCACATTTTCAAAAGCAATCTGGTAATTGTAAAAAAAAAATGTTGTTGCAAATTACAATAAATATCTCTTATGCAATTGGTAATTTTTATTGCAATGTATTTTTCTCATTTTAGTTTATTTTTTTATTATTTATTATTTCACTTTATTTTACAGTGTTCTTAGAAAGTACTAGGTTATATGAGGTAACTACATGGGTTAAAGTAAAAATCCGAGCCAGGGTAGCTTTAAGACTGATTTATACCTCTGTGCCAAGTGATCAACGTGATCCACGATGCCTGTCTTGTATTTATACTTCTATACGTAGTCGTGCATTTATACTTCTGCGTGCTGTTTGGGTTGCTCTGCAATAACACTTTTAAAAACGCTAGCCGGCAGTAGGTTTTTATTTTCCACTTGTAAACACTTCCTCCAATGGGTTCATGTGGCTCTCGGTCCTGCCCACACTGGTCACAGCTACTAAGCCGACCAATCACAGAGCTTACTCTACGCATCAATATGATATGTAGTTGCATTTTTTTTGGAGATTTGGCTGACTGTCAGCCACGGCGAGGGCTATGCTACTGCGCGAAGGCTGCTCCGGAGCATAAGTTTGACGCACAAGTATAAATCAGCCTTTAGTGATACTACTTAGTTATCAACCAGTTTATGTTGCCACTATATACATGCATATTATATACATGTTTAAAGGACTTTAAATAGAAGTGCTATCCTTACAATATTATGTAACTATTATTGATTATTAATGATTAAATATATATATTTTTTACAAAAACTTGAGCCAAAGTAACCAAAAACTATTAAAGCTGTTTAGGCATTACTTTATGATGCTTTTTTTATCCACACATTTCTGAATGAAGTGAATTTTTAATACACTGCTACAGCAACAATCCTCCTGGAGCATTCAGGGGTCAAGGGTAACAACCGAGGACACGGGTTGCTTATAGATTACCAGGCCACTAGTCTCTGCAATTACCAGTCCGTTCAGGCTTCAGATTCAGGCCATACTGGTAGTAATTAAAGTCCAACTCATCCACACCGTCCGTTGACACAGCACAAGAGGATTTCTTCGGTAAGCTCTTCGTCCAGTCAGCAGTGGAGGGGAGGAGGGAAGCTGGGCTCATTCGATTAAACCTGACCAGCCCAGGAACAGTTACATAACCACCGGCTGAGAGTTAGACGGCCTGCTGTATCGGATGCACACACATCTGTCAGTACACCCAGACGGGGGAAACGGACACTGCCGCCTATTGTGTGTCTGCACGTGTGGACTTCAGTGGGACTTGTTTGTGTTGGAGAGTTGCAAAAGGCTCATACCTGAGCACACTCCACTGATTGCTCCATTAGAGTGATGTAACTCTGCCAGCTTTTGATAATCACTCACCTGCTGTGCCCTCTATCAGCACCGATTAGGTTTGATGAAACAATCCAACTCGGGATAGCATGTTTCATGTTTGGATGGGATTAGTAATGAGTCTGTGACTTACAAAATGTGTTCTAAAGAAAATGTACCAATTTACTGTGTTAACCCCTTCGAAACCCTGGCTTGAGGTTAATATTGTCAGAGGTCCCCTAACAAGTACACATCTTAGGTCGGTGTAGCTTATATGTCAAGTACACAATCACTTTTCGTAATCGGTGTGTTGAATACAGGAGAGATAAGCAGAAATAAAGTTCTAAGCAACTCGTGCAAGATCCACATTACGGGTCGGAGCATCTCAAATGACAAGGCTTGTGGGTTGGTTAGCAGTGGTGAGAATTTGTGAAGTGGTCCTGGAAGGAACAAGCCACAAGTCTCGAGACAGGATATCGAGCAACCAAGCCAAGGAATGCTATCCCCTCTGGCACAAGTCACATGTATCACACTGCCTATAATAACCCCTGTTTAAAAAAAAACTTACAATGCATGTGCAGTCTTCAGAACTTTAGAGTGAATAAAGAAGGTTGCCCATTTTCTTTAGCATCTCATGGCCAGGTACATTTGGACCAGGATGCACTGTGGGTTGACAACAAGCCTGGTGAAAGACATGTGAAACCCTGGGTCTGGCGATTCCCTACATGCATTAGCTGGTGAAGTTGTATCCTAATGGTTAGAGAGTCTTGTAATCAATAGGTTGCAGTGGTCAATTCTCTTTACCAGCACAAGTTGCAACACTCTATTTGACTATTAATAACAAAGACTGAGGTTCCCTTGAGGCACCTTATCCTTAGTTGCTTTACACCAGGGGTGCTCAATCATGTTCCTGTAGATCTACCTTTCTTAGAAGAGTTGAGCTGCAACCCTGATCAAACACACCTGTCTTTAATTACCAAGTTCTCCTTCAGATCTGACTTAAGCTGCGGTCACACTGGGCTTTTCCTCCCATAGACTTCCATTCATATGCACGCAAATGCGTCAGACCGGAAACGCTGAGTCATGCATTAAGTTTCGCAGGTCGCTGCGGAGCAAAGTTCAAGCTTTGTGAACTCTGACCAGCGAAAATGCATCACTTGACTGCGTAAGACCAATCGAGGATCAAATCATGACCTCTGGGCAGAAATTTAAAATATGGAGCAATCACTCACTATTTTAAATGTCTAATAAGCTTGTTTAATCGCGCACCTTTTCGCAGCGCCACAAGACAGATATCGCACACACAAACTCTAGTGTGACCGCAGGTTTAGTTGTGTTTGATCAGGGTTGGAGCTGAATTCTGCAGGAAGGTAGATCTTCAAGAACAGGATTGGCTACCCCTGCTCGACAGCTTCTCTGGGGGGTTTCTCATAGTATGTCTGTTCACAGAAAGTACTTGCAGCTTTGATCCACTAACTTGGATGTGTTAACTTGGACCAAAGTGCGGGTCATGTCATTTTTAGTAAAATAATGTAGGTTGGGGGAGTGAACAAGTAGCACTCTCTTCACCCTTTTCAGTCACCGCCATTGCTCCACTCTTCTCCAGGTGTGTGCGTACTTGCATATGGGACTAAAGTAAAGGTCATGTCAAGTCATCTTCAGTAGGTGGTGGAGTAAGCTAACAGTGCACTAGTCTAACAGGCACTACACCCACAATTGCTCCTCTACTTCCCACTAACTTGCGTCAAATGCAGAAGACAAAATTTAAGTTCTGTCCACATCACTGTTAGTAGGACAGTGGACCCTGGACCAAGAATGTGCTTCACCAAAAAGCATATTAAAGTCTTTAAGATCCTACATGACACCTTTAGGGTCCATGCTTGTATGGATTGGTTTTGTTTGCCAATAGATGAAAGATAAAAGACGTAGGCCCAGTTTCACAAACATGACTTAGATTAAGCCAGGACTAGGCCTTAGTTAAATAAGGTTATTTAAGACTCATTTAAAAATGGCCTTAAAAAATATTACTGGTAGGCACCTGGAGACAAAAAAATGACACTGACATATTTTAAAACATCTCACCGCAAGTTATTTTTAAGTTGAGACAGCTCAAACATGCAATTTAATCCTGACTAGCCTTAAACCTTGTTTGTGAAACCGGGGGGTAATGTTTTGGTTCACGGTACTCATCAACACCTCTGCTCTACTACGACTACTACTGCATTTCAACACTACTGCTCAACAACTCCTACTACTACTAATATTACTACTACTACTACTACTACTACTACTACTACTACTACTACACTTCAACAATATTGCTCAGCTACTACTACTAATATACCTCAATACTACTGCTCAACTACTACTACTATTACTACACTTCAACAGTATTGCTCAGCTACTACTACTTCTACTACTATTACCACACCTCAATACTACTGCTCAACAACTACTAATACACCTCAATACTACTGCTCAACTACCCCTACTACAACACCTCAACACTACTGCTCTACTACTACACCTCAATACTACTACTACTATTACCACTACTACTACAACACCTCAACACTACTGCTCTACTACTACACCTCAATACTACTACTACTATTACCGCTACTACTACTACACCTCAACACTACTGCTTTACTACTACTACTACTACTACTACAACAACATCTCAACACTACTACACCTTAACACTACTGCTTTACTACTACTACTACTACTACTACTACTACTACTACAACAACATCTCAACACTACTACTACTACACATCAACACTACTTCTATGGTTGTTAGGTTGTTGTTAAGGAATGAGTAAACACAAACCCAAAACTATACCAAAATCAAAAACCTTTAAGCATTTTTGATATAGTCAGATGTGTTCATTTCTACTCGGAGCAGTTGAAACCTAACATTTCAAACTCGTCTCTGATTGCTGTTTTTCTCTGCCTAATCGACTTGTTGGCCTTTTCCCTTAATCTGCTTCCTCCGCTGCTTTTCATTAGGCACCAGACAGACTGCTTCAGCCTCATTAGACTGACTAATTGCTTCAACAATGTCAGATGGATGTGTACATATGTTTAGTGTGGTGAAAAGGAATTTTAGGGGCCTTTGAGGGGAAATCCACCTTACGGATTATGTTTAATTTGTTGGCATATGACTAATGTAAATAAACTTTTTTTTTCAGGCCCTGCAGCATGGATTTTTGAACTTCGAGACTTTCGATGTTAACGAATATGAACATTATGAGGTAATGATGCCCCTTTTCACCCCTTCGTTATGAAATGCGACTTGCTCACGCTCATTAGGCAAACCAGCAGGCAATGTTTTACCCAGAATTACATTCATTGCTCCTCAAGCCGGTTACATAATCATGTTTATTCCGTCTGACCCAAAGACATTTTAACATAATGACAGTCTCGGCTGAATCAAGTGGATTTAAATCGCACACAGTCAAAGTGATTATACATTACGTACCTGTGTTTGTAATCCACTATAAGAGTTGTACATCTAGGGTGTTTACACAATTGTTGGAACGATTCACGCCAAATGAGCATTCAATTGATTTGGCCGTTAGCATTATGTAAATTTTCCAGTTTGTTCTAATCCGTCACCCTCAGTGCCCTCCACTTTGATGGGGTTACGAGTCTTGCAACCCTGCGGTTCAGGACAACACAGCTCACCAATTATGAAACAAACTCTATCTGCTTGTTCTCATTGTACACTTTATTCATGTTTGCATCACTCCTTTTCGGCTGGTTCTCTTGTTCTTTCAGCGTGTAGAGAACGGAGATCTGAACTGGATCACCCCAGGCAAACTTCTTGCTTTCAGTGGGCCACATCCCAAAAGTAAAGTAGAGAACGGTAAGACTGCTTGACAGCTTCTTTTTTTTTTTAGTGCAAGTACTGTCATGATTTGATGCATTTCATTTGAGTGACAGTAGAGGGCGCTCTTGTTTTAGTAATTCTTACATCCCACACTGCAAAAAAAGCTTTTCTTACTTAGATTTTTTTTTGTCTGGTCTCTAGTGCAAATATCTAAAAGTTCTTAAATCAAGAAGCATTTTCTAGACAAGCCATAAATATTGTTTTGTTTTAAGAAATAATATGCCAAAATTACGTAAGGTTTTCAATAAAATAAGCAAAATAATCTGCCTATGGGGTAAGCAAAATTATCTTGTTTTTCGTTTAACACAAGATTATTTTGCTTACCCCATTGGCAGATTATTTTGCTTGTTTTAGGGAAAAACTTACTTAATTTTAGCATATTATTTCTTAAAACAAGGTAATATAATTTGCTTGTCTAGAAAATGCTTCTTCATTTAAAACTTTTCAGATTTTTGCACACACTTAAATGTTAGGAGAAATGTACTTGCAACAATTGTAATGCAACTTCTTGCAAATAAAATATATTTTAGGGAAAATGTAATTAATAAAAAATAATTAAAATATAATTAATTAAAAATGTGTGTGTGTGTATATATATATATATATATATATATATATATATATATATATATATGAATGTACATAAATACATTATCAAATGTTCTGTTACTTTTGTTTTTTAAATTTACAATTTCATGATTTATAAATCGATGAACGTTTCCTTTAAAATAGAAAAAAGTTTTGTTTTTGTTTTTTTGTTTTTTTAAACCTAAAATGACCTTTAAAATTAATTTTAATTCTATCTAATACTAAGATCCATTTTAATCTTAATTATGGGTTATACAGAGGGTGTTTAATACTAATATATGTGCATGTTCTTTTCAAATAATAATTAAATGCATTGTTTAATATAACTCTAAATGTGTAAATTGATTAAACTTTACCTTCATGAGAAATTAATGGGGATATACATTCAATAAGTCTATAAAAATTTATTTACATTTAGTAATTTAAATTAAATATACATATTTAAATTTACATTCAAATTTATTCTGTGTATAAGCTATAAAATTAATCCCCCCTTCTTTTTTTCTTTCGTTCTTTGTGCCATAGGTTACCCTCTACATGCGCCTGAGGCATATTTCCCGTATTTCCGCAAACACAACGTCACGACCATAGTTCGCCTCAACAAGAAGATCTACGATGCCAAGCGCTTTACAGACGCCGGTTTCGACCACTATGACCTGTTCTTTGTGGATGGCAGCACGCCCAGTGACATCATCACCCGCCGCTTCCTGCACATCTGCGAGAGCACGAGCGGAGCGGTGGCTGTGCACTGCAAAGGTGAGACACCACTTAAATCAAAGACATGCAAATGACAGCTTCGCCTCGTTGACCTACTTATTTTGCGCAAAAAGAGGATAATTAATAACAAAATGGCTTTGTTTTTTTTTTTACATTCGATATTAGACTTGGTTTGTAAATGTCATTTATAAACATTAGCTTCTAAAATACATTTGTTCCTATTTCCACCTGATATTTACATGCGTTTTCAGTGAACAAATCACAAGTGGTTCGCTAAAAAAAGTCAGTTTCCTCTGTCGTGATTCTTGTGACCACGTGTTGAGATTTGTTAAAACTGTTATTTTGTCATGCTCTACATCACTTTACCAGAAGTGCTCCGTTTGAGATACAAGTTTACCAAGCAAATTAAAAGGATATGGATAGCAACTGTGATGTTAAAACTGTCCATGTGTCTGTACTATTCATATACAGTTTGAAAAGTAATCATAATGAATGTGTTTTTAGCCTCTAGAAGGGGTCAAACTATACAAGCTTAAATCATTTTATGCCTCCTTTGTATCTGTATTTACCAATGTCCACTTATGATCTGGCAAAGGGCATCCTAATGCCAAGTGTAAATGGAGCCGAAGTTGTCAAAACTGGATTTTTTCCAAACTAGTTCAGACCCTGTTTACAGCTAGATTTAGTGTTACTACTTGTGATGTAAATGAGGTCGATGTAGTTAAAGTCAGACCAGTTCAAACCCAGTTTAATGCCGGGTGTAAATGAGGTCAAATTAGTTAAAATCAGACCAGTTTAGACCCAGTTTACATCTACATTTAATTTTTACTTCTTGTGATTGAACAAAAAGCATCTAATACCAGGTGTAAATGAGGTCGAAGTAGTTAAATCAGACCAGTTTAGTCCCAGCGTACAGCTATGTTAAGGTGTGAAATAAGATTAAGGAAAGCACATGTTATTTTTCGGGTGTAAAGTGACTAAAGCATTCAAAAAGGACAAGCTTAAACCTGTTCAGACCCAGTTTACACCTGTATTTAGTGTTCTCTGCATGTTATAGGATGGAAACGCAATTCAATTTAACACTAATATTTAAGTTTGTCCACTCAAGATATTTTCTGGTGTAAAGTGACCGAATTGGTTAAAAAAAGGGACAAGCTTAAAATGTTTAAGACCAGGGCTGCCCATCCCTGTTCTTGGAGATCTACTTTTCTGCAGAGCTAAGCTCCAACCCTGATCAAGCACAACTAAACTGACTGAAGCTGCGGTCACACTAGAGTTTAAGCTTGCAAAATTCTGTCGTGCAGCGCTGTGGAAAGGGGCAATAAACTAGATAAGTAGACATTCAAAAAAACGAGCGATTGCTCTATATTTTAAATTTCTGTCCAGAGAGGTCATGTTTTGATCCTCGATTGGTCTCATGCACTCAAGTGATGCGATTTCACAGGTCAGAGTTCACCAAGCTTGAACGTTGCAATATAGCGAACTATGAAATTTGATGTACAACCTTGCATTTACGGTCTGACGCATTCACGTGCAAATAAAGTCTGTGGGGAAAAAATGCATTGTGACCGCAGCTTAATTAGGATCTGAAGGGGCACTTGGTAATTACAGACAGGTGTGTTGAATCAGATGAACTCTGCAGGAAGGTAGATCTCCAGGAACTGAATTGGGCACCCCTGATTTTGACCATGTTCAAACATCTAATTAGCATTGTGTATTTGTGTAACTTTTTTTTTTTCGACCAATCACAGCGGGTTTAGGCCGGACGGGCACTCTAATTGGCTGCTACCTGATGAAGCACTACCGTTTCACATCTGCCGAAGCCATCGCTTGGATCCGCATCTGCAGACCTGGTTCTATTATTGGACCCCAGCAGCATTATTTAGAAGAGTAAGTCCCACAATGCACCACTTTGAGCCGCTCAATACCTTCTTTTTCTCTATTGTGTGTTACTTTTACATAACGCAGACAAGTGCTCTAACTTTGGTATATTGGGAGAGCGGTTTTCAAGAGCGCGGATCTAGAAGGTCAACACATGTTTTGCCTGAGTCATCCAATTCAGGCTTGCAAGTTTGATTTGGCTTTTGACTATCAATTTCGTGCAGCATATAGGCAGATTGCGGTTCATTGTCATGTGTGAGTTAAAACAGAGCACTGGTCATGCGAAGGTCAGTTCAAGCTAATCTCTCGAGTGTGTTTTTTTGTGCTGACGTGATGCCGCAATGTGATTTTTGAATGCCCACCACGGGATAGATGAATGTTATCTTCAGGCATATTTTCCTCCTTAGGCCATTGTGAGACGTGTGAGATTCTGTTCCTGCTTGCTGAGCACAATGTGCCTGTTATCAAGCATTAAGTGGACAGTTCAGTCCGAGCGCAGATTTCTTCCCATACAGCTGAATTGTTTGTCCGAAACACCATATCCTCAGGACATTGATGGGGAATTGTTGTTTTTTGTACCTGTACAGGAAGCAGGCCAGTCTCTGGGCTCATGGTGATAGTCTACGGTCCAAGCAGAGGCAGTATCAGGACAGATCAGTGCCTCAGCTTATCTCCAGTATGGACAACCTCTCCATCAGCACCTCCATCTTTAAATCCCACAGCTTGGACCGGATGGAGGAGGTGAGGCCTACAGGGACATTTCAATTCATTTATTTTTTATATATAATAAAAAGTGATTTATATTGGGGATTATTAATTGCATAGTTATATGGCATTTATTTAATTTTTATTTTATATAATATTTTAGCCATTTAAGCTCATTTCACAGTGTTAAATTCAAATTTTTGTAAATATTTAAATTGTATTCATGTCAGCTATTAAATGATCAGCTGCTATAGCATATTTGTTTGATATCTAGTATTGTGGAAACCATGTAAAGTATCATAAAATATATTGGTTAATCTGATATCATTCAAATAGTTAAGAAAATACTTCATGCCTTTAGCTATATTGTTCTGAATTTGAAGGATTAGTTCATCCAAAAATGAACGTTATCCCATAATTTAACTTAAAGCCATCGTAGGTGTGTGTGACTTTCTTCTTTCAGACTTACACAGTCAGGGTAGTTTGAAATGTAATCCATTCTCTTCTATGATGTATAATGGTGTTGGATGGTGGCTTTTATTTTGAAGCTTCCAAAAGTGCATAAGTCATTCATTATACTAACCCTCACACTGCCAAGGGGTTAGCGCATGTCTTCTGAAGTAAACCTGTGTTTTTTGTGGAACAGAAATATTTAACGTTAGCTACGTTTTCACTCACTTATTTTTATGTGCATTTTGTATATGCGCATTAAAAATTGGTTAAAGGAAATGCTACGATGGCATAAGTTTTGAAAATGTGCATAAACATATGCGTAAGTAGGATAAACAAATTCCAGTATGCACAATTAAAAACCTATGTGGTTTTGTTCTAATAAAAAGTGATGATGAAAACGTGTGTGAATGGACAAATCAGCAGTTGAGCACATTGTTAAACATGAAATGTTGTTTTGATCATTCTAAAATGCCTTAACCGTTTCAGTATTAGTGTTATTATATTATTAATTACCTCCAGAACTGTCAAGAGTGTCTGTGCTCCGTGTCTGACTTGTCGGCATACTGTCTTCTGAGGTTCAAGTCATTTATTAAATAAAGAAAAGATTCACGCAGCTTCTCCTTCACAGCAAATTCCGTTTTTACTTTTGTTATTTGGCACCAGTCAATCAGATAGTGAAGATTTTGGTTCTCTTTGACGACTTTGATGGAAACGCTGCTTTGTTCGCACGACTTGTATGCGAAATTCCAGTTTTGCGCGTGAAGTTAATTTGCATTTTTTAATGGAAACATAGCTACTGTTAAATTCTTAAGTCTAATCACTGAGCTCCGGTGGTGGCTAAATCAGCGTTAGACATGAGGGTTGACGTAAGATGGGTTGACACTTTGTTATATACTGTATGACATGTACAGTAACACCAAGTCAAATAGTTTTCTTATTCATCGTTTATGTTCTTATGTTATAAATAAACTGTGTTTTACGAGATGTTTTTAATCCTGGAAATTTCGCAACAAATGCATCTTACGTTATTGCATCATATGCCGTATACGTCAGTTGCACATAATGTGCATTCAACCACCACCTGAAGACAGTGATTCGGAATTTTATAATTAAAAATTATAAATATTTTTAGTAGATAAACACATCGATTGTCTTCATAAGATTTGACACTTAAAAACTTCAAAACAAAAATCACCTTCCAACACTTTCATACAGAATGGAAGAACCAGGATAAAATTTAAAACTACTCCAACTGTTTGTCTAACACAAAGTCATACACTGATGGCTTGAGTAAATTTGGGGTAATTTTATTGTTGGGGTGAACTACTTCTTTAATATCGGTATTTTACTACTTAGATAATTTAATGAATTCTTTTGTTTTTATTGTCAAATTGTTGAAACATGTTGAGAGGGTTAAAATCGCTATATAAACTTTAAAGGCTGATTTATACTTCTGCGTCAAGCGTATGCTCCAGCTTTTACGCAGTCGCATTTCAGAAAAAACAAAACACCCACGAAGAAACAACACAGAGAAACATAAAAACCTTCTGCCAGCTAGCATTTCGGAGGTGTTATTACAGAGCAGCACAAACAACGTGCAAAACGATAAATGCATGACTACACGGAAAGCAGGCACTGTGGGTCACTGCGATCACTCGATGCATTTACATGTCCTCTAACTTTTGACAGAATGATTATGCTGAGAACGATCTCGGTATGACGCAAGGAGACAAACTGCGTGCCTTAAAGGGTCGACGGCAGCCGAGGTCTGCGACCACTGGAGCCATAAGGTAAGACGCCATTCTTTTGTTTTATACGAATGAATAATTTGAACACTCGTCATCTTACAATAGCGCCCCCTCTGGCAGCCCTGATAATCCAAATCATCTTCATAAATGGCGTTTTGAGGACTTTGGTGATGTAACACGCTATTTAAAGCCCAAATCTCAACCTGGACATAAAAAGCAATGCTGGTGTAAGACCAGTATCACATCATCTATTCAGGTCTCCATATACGCAGAGTAATGAGTCACATTACATAAATGACACTCGTTTCTTCCGCTCGTGAATGGGGGGCCTTTTATCACGACTCTTTCAACTTCCATTAGCTTTTAGCTCCGTGAAGAGCTAAATGACGACAGGCCATGGTTAGTGTTTCCAGTCCACTCTTAAACGCAAGACACAGAGCGAAAATAAATACAAAAGAAACCCTGCACTGGTAAGAGCGCTGATGTACCAGCTGGTTGGCATAGTAACATGGCGCTCTTGTCGTTTCAGAGAGATGTACCTCAGGATGGGTACATGCTGCTTTTAGATGCTTTTTTTTTAACAGGCTTGAATGTGAAATGCAGCGCTAGCAATACTGCTTTGTTATACATTGTACACGGCATACTAACTTTCTTTCAAAATTAATCTTGCTTTGAAATTAAGCACTAGCATGTTACTCTTTCTTACTACACAATGCGTTATGAATATTATGTACAGTTTTTGTGAACAGTATGCACACTGATATATTTTAAATGCTTGGTTTGAATAGAACGCTAGCATAAAGCGTATTGTATGTATCTGTACTGTGCACTGTTTCTGTAAAAATGCTAAAATTCTTTAAAAATGTGATTTAGTTTGAGCGTTTGTTGATTGCATCTATATAATGGACAGCCTGCTGTGTACAAATTTGTGCAGTTTGCATATTGATTTAATAATTGTAAGATTTAAAGTGCATGCTAATTAATCGTCTTAGGTTATATTAAGTTTAGTTTGAATGTTTGGCTTGAAATTGAGCACATTTATAAGTATATTATGCATATTATGCACTGTTTTTTTTTTACGATTAGCGTAAGTATGATGTATTTTTGCTAATAAAAGTAAGTTTAGCGAATGTTGTAGATAATCAGAGTATTAAATACTTGCATACTTAAAATGCACAATATCCATACAGGCCTACAAAGGCACAGTGCAGTGACTACACATTTTGTCAAAATTGATCTGGACAAAGAGTCCTGCTTCAGTTTGGGATCATTTTAGAGTGCCAAAACTGCTGTAACTACAAAAAAAAAGTTTAAACTTTAAACAAAGGCATTTGGTTCAGTATCAGTGTGTATAAATACTGCACTTTGCATTTGTAAACCAGCATACTAATGCAGTGCTTCCCACACATAGACTTTAGTTTGTCGGGGCCGCATATGTAGTGACATTTTTTTTCACTATTATTATTATTCTTTTACTAGGGATGCTCTGGTCAGGATTTTCGCTCCATAATGTTGCATAAAATCTCTTAAACACATCTCTTATAACTGTATTGTGCAGACATGTCATTGCCAGAAGCAGCTTTACAGAAAAGACTAGATGTAACAGTCAAAAACACAGAACTTTTAGTTTTTATACAGTGCAACTGGAAAGTATTCATAGCGTTTCACTTTTTCTACATTTTTTTTTTATGTTACAGCTTTATTCCAAAATTAATTAAATTCACTTATTTCCACAATTCTACACACAATATCCCATAATGACAATGTGAAAAAAGAGTTTTTGAAATTGTTGCAAATTTATTCAAAATTAAAAACCTGAAAAATCACATGTACAGAAGTATTCACAGCCTTCGCTCAATACTTTGCTGATGCACCTTTGGCAGCAGTTACAGCCTCAAGTCTTTTTGAATATGGTGCCACAAGCTTGGCACACCTGTCTTTGGGAATTTTTGCCCATTCCTCTTTGCAGTACCTCTCAAGCTCTATCAGGTTGGATGGGAATCGACGATGTACAGCCATTTTCAGATGACTCCAGAGATGTTTAATAGGATTTAAGTCTGGGCTCTGGCTGGGCCACTCAAGTACATTGTCATTATGGCATATTGTGTGTAGTATTGAGGAAATAAATTAATTAATTGATTTTAGAATAAGGATGTGACAGCAAAAAATGTGGAAAAAGTGAACCACTAATGCTTACAGGATGCATTGTATATGTAAAAATGCCTAAATAAATGTAAGGCCGTTTTTAATATTTTGCTCTCCAACTAGCATGTCTCTGACGGAAGCTTCTGTGCTCTGGACAACCTCACAGCAACTCGATCGCTCGAGGAGAGAGACAGGGATGTCCATTTGAGATATCTTTACTGTGCTATTTATCTAACCTAACAAATGTAAAGCTTAGAACATCACTGTGCCTCTTGCAATCTGTTCTCTTGCTAATTCACTCTCATCTCTACGATTTCCTGGGTATTTTATCTAATTTAAAACAACTGCGATCGGTTCAGGAGATCAGCCTTATTTGAAAATACCGATTGAATCATAAAATTGGATTAACTGATTGATCGGAGCAAAACCATCAACACTCCCACAGACAGTCTCACATGCTGTGCAGACCCACAGAGACACGCCTTTTTGGGCCAGGGTTTCTAAATTTCTTAAAATGTCCGGGATTCAGGTTTTGCATTCGCTCTTCAAATGTATTGTTAATCGTATGCATTTTTGCATGACCGTTTTCTTTTAGGCCTACTTTCGCTGACAGCTGATTGACTAATAATTCATTCTTTAATCGAAACAACTGAAAAAAACTTTACTATTTACTCAGAGAGGTTAAAATGACAGGTCTAAACTGAGAGCAAAATGTATGTACACCATTAGTAATGGTTAATCAACGCATTTGCCCTATTTTAACAATCTACATGTTTTAACTTGTATACTTTTTTATATATTGTCTTTTTATTCTTTTTTTCTGTGAATTTATTTTTCATTTGCTGTATATTTGATTAATTTGATGATGCAATATATTATATATTTTACATATCTAAAATGCTTTGGCATTCATTTGCTTTGAACTTGAGAGAGAGCGAGAGAGGCTTGTTTTACCTGTCAGTGGGTGCACATGGCTCCTGAATAGCATAAAAGTAAGAGAAATAATTCATTTTTTTTTTACCTATTTAAAAGAAACAATTCGATTGTTATCACTAGATTGAATGTGTGTAATCAGTGGTTATCAGCTGATGTATTTTGGCCAGTAGGGGCCTTCTGCTCCTCAAGCCTGGTTTATTCTCGACACGTCCACTGGTTTGCTTGTTTGCTTGCTCATAAAGATAACCAGATGATCAATAATTCTTGTCTAGAAATTGCAACAGCAGTGGGAAAGGAGGAAAGTTTTTGTAAAAGTTTGGAAAAACCTGAGGGATAAAGCCAAAATAGATTTTTTAATTACGAAAATGTTTTTTCACCATTCATTTTGAATTGAAAATAATTTAATAGTTACAAAACTATAATTAAGGATCAAATTATTTATTTGCACCTGAAAAAGAATATTTCAACCTATCGGTTTACAACATACTGATGGCCTGTTTTTTTTACATTATTGGTGATGATGGTTTTTTCTTTCTATAATATATTTGTAGAGCAACCCATGTTCTGTTGTCATTATTATGTTATTAAGTTTTATTAGGTAGAACTGTCCGAGATATGAACAAAAGCAAGTAATGCATTAAAGTTTGGTTTAAAAAAAAAACTTGAATGGTTATACATTTTTTATAATTATTAAATTTATTTCTAAAAACAACTAATATAATTAGTTAAAAAAATCTTAAACTATATTAAAGATATGACATACCTCCAGAAACGTCCTATTTCTCTGTTTATCTGTCTGACTTCACGGTCAGTTTCTTTTGACCGTCCCGTCGTTTTAAAGAATATCACAACGGCGAACGCATTAAGTATACAAGCCTCGCTTATTTCGCACACAGTCAGCAGATGTGCGCGATGCGGCACCAAGCGAAAGTATAAATCAGGCTAATAATTTTATTAATTTAAAAATTATTTATATTATTTATAAAATTTTCTATTAATTGTATTTTATTAACGTCTACCCCAACCCTAAACCCATCCATCATAGTAGTTTAAAAACAGATCTGGATCTGAAGTCTTCTCTAATAGTAAACCTGATTAACCATATGGATGGATAACAGCCTTCTTAGCCTTAGTCTTACTAGTAGGCGCAGAAGGCCCCTACTGGCCCATATCTAACAGCTGATAACCACTGATAACAGTTATTCAGTTGAGTGATAACATTGTAATCGGGTGGTATGACAGTGTCATAGTAAACAAAATTATTGTTGAAAATGTAATTGTTTTGTTTCTTGCATGTAATTAACTCTTTCTGTGATGTGGGTAAATGGTGTGTTTCAATCCGGCTACCACCCCAAGTATATTTCAAACCTGTGGGAAGCACTGCAATGCACTTCAAAACACAACACAAATGCTGCCTGTTAATTAAAAATAAATGCGGTATGTAGTGTGCATTCATTCTCTAACCTAAGCAATGAATTCACTCCCTTTTTCAACTGCAGTTTACGTAACCATGTGGTGTGTGCTTGAACCCAGTGTCATCTCAATGTTTTTCCAACAGAGTCGAGGACGTGAAGGTGCACACTAGGTCTCCATCTCAGCCTCTTAGGTAATGTTTTATTTCAAGCTTGCATTTTGTTTTCTTTAAAGGCCAGAGGTCATTAACATACAAAAGCCTTAAAAGTCTGATGCAACCACCTGCTTAGGAGAGAAAATGGTTATGTGGCTTGTCTTTGGTGTATGAAAGCAGTTTAAAATCATCATAACTGCTGACTATAAATGATTTGGGAAAGCTGTTGGCAGTACACTTGCTGTTTTACCTCTTTATTAAAACATTCTGTACTTTAGTCTATGCCTTTTAAAGACAAATTGTACCCTGGCATATCTTAATTTCCAGTACTCTGTGCATAACACTAATAAAACAAGATGTTCAAGTACTGTTCGATGAGAACAAGTTGCCGCATCATTATGTGCACGGTGATGTCGTCAATAATTTGAACAGGGCCCGTTTTAGCACGTTTAACCCAGATGTAAATGAAACACTCCTTTGAGAAGAGTACGCGGCCCTTAATTAATATTGTTCTGAAGAGCTGAAGAGGCCACTCGGATGCAACCGGCCCTCCTCCTCCCCCTCTTCCTGTCCGCACGAGAGTGAAGGACGAGCTCTTGGCAGATTTGTTTGTTTTTGCGTCTGACTGAAGAGAAGAGAGTAGCAATTGATTAGATAATAATATCATTTTATACATGGATGCTGTGTAAATACATAATATAGAGTGTTTAAATGTATGAATTGGTGATTGAAAGTAATAACTGTTAATCATATTTCTAAGCTTTTTGGATGCATTAGAGCACAGGTGTCAAACTCAGTTCCAAAAGGGCCGCAGCTCTGCACAGTTGAGTTCCAACCCTAATTAAACGCACCTGATCAAACTAATTGAGTCCTTCAGGCTTGTTTGAAACCTACAGGTAAGTGTGTTGAAGCAGGGTTGGAACTAAACTGTTCAGGGCTTCGGCCCTCCAGGAATTGAGTTTGACACCCCTGCATTAGTGTATTATAATGTAATAAAGGGCTGCAGGATGTTGGAGAAATATGACATTGCGATATTTTTTCTATTACTGCCATGCATATTGAGATATGAATATCATTTCACCAGATCACTTGAATTAGCTATATTAAGAAAATTAATTGAGATTAACTGGAGTTATATGCAAATGTATAACATGTAATACATTACAAGCATATAAAAAACGGTAGAGCAAAAATCTAAGTTATTGTGGAGACGCACATTGCGATATCGATGCTCAAATTATATATTGTTTAGTCCTATTGCAATACATGTTGAAATGCAGTCATTAGTAATATAATTTAATGATGAAAATTTAAATACGGATTATCAGACTTTAAATTAATAGTCTGAATAGATGTGTAGAGATGAATACTACAATGTGTATGTATATGTTTGTGTGTGTATACCATAGACTGTAAAAGATATGGACGTAGTATTCATGACGTCACCCATAGGTTTCTGAAGAGTGCAGATGAAGCTGCAAGTGGGCGTGACCAAATCATTGCCATTTTGTTTTACGTGTCATTGCACCGACCGGGAGTAACCAAAAAAGGGCAAAGTAGCGGAGCTGCAGATACCTGCTAGCATTTTTCGTAGAAAGGCTTTTCTTTGGGAGATGCACTTAATATTTTGATTACCTGCGACTCATTTGTGGTCTGATCACATGTGCTTGGTTGTATACTATATCAATAAAGTGTTTAGACTTTTAAAAACGCTGTTGTAACACATTGAGCCACTAAGCATTATTCTTATGACGTTTTTCTACAGGAGAAAAATGTGAATTACCATCAAACACTTAAAATATAGTCTGTGTTAGTGAATGCAAGGCTATTTATGAAATCCAGGCATAACACTGTATGACAGTATTTCAGATGACTTTTATAGCCTACAGTTAATCAATCTGTTAGATTCTGGAGTGCTTTACAGGTCTAAAGAAATTGATAAATGATCTTATATAAATGTATCAATACATTTATAGATATTGTATATAATTTCACTCACCTGGGAAATAGAGCAAATTGAATGGTTTGTGAGGACAATAAAGTGCCCATAGCATGCCATATTATCTGATAATTGTAAGAAATAATTTGAAAAGGCTCTGACTCTGTAAAGCCACAAAGCAACACAAAAATACGATGAATATGCCGATTTCAGCAGCTAATCAGCCGGAATCAGCTGAGGTGATGAGACAGAGAGCAGCGAGACCTAGCTGTCACTCAATGGCCCACTCTATGCTGACTATATATAACTTGATAAAAACGAAACGGATAAGTTATAAAAATTTTTTTTTAAAAATCTTAAACAAACAAACAAAAAAATCTTAAAAAAAACAACAACAAAAAAACACTCACAGTTGTCATTAGGGGTAATATTAGCTATATACATCAAAATAGTGTTTTTGTACCAGGCTGTAAACACTGCTGTAAAATTGGCCATTTTAACATTGGGCTCAATAGAAATGTGCTTCATTATGGAGACAGGCGTAGTTGAATTTCGATGAATTACAGTTTCCGTTACTTTCATATTAGCTTCACGAGGGAGAGCAGGATGTTGCCCCTTTCTGTATACGTATATGTGTACACTCGCGCACACAAGTAAATAAAGGAACCTCCCATTAATAGTAATTTAATTTGGACAGATTAAAATAAGCAAACACATTGTGTGCATTACAAATGATTTATTTGACAACCACTATACCAAAATATGTTTTATGAATAATATATGTAAATAATATATCAAATGTGTTGTATCGTACTGTAACGTACTTGATATAATTCTACTTTTACTGATTTAAAATGAATAGATAATTAGCATTAGCATTAGGTTTAGTACACTATGTAAAAATGCTATTGGCATGAAAACCTGAGCTCCTGAACTATTAGCAGATAAAATATTAATGTATTTTATGTAACCAACTGATTAATACTTTAAAAGCCACTGCTAGCTGTTTATTTGAAAACTTCCATATTTGACTTTTTTTTTCATTGTTATTTCGTTGAGATGAACCTGAGTCAGAGTTTTTGGAGTGGGTGAAAGAGCAGGAGGAACTGTGTGGGAGACGCTGATTAGTGGCAGGATTACCAACTGTGCACTTCAAAATCAAAACTGAAAGAAAAAAAGAGTGGAAAATGGGCTCTTTTCCCACACCGATAGTAAAGAGGAAAGCATTAGATGAGTAAAGTTCCTGAAAGTTAAAATGACTTATTAAGAGCTTTAAGTTTAAAGGTTTGATATAAGAGAACTCAAAAACGTCACTAGCATAATATTGCTAGAACTAATTAGCATTGCGTGTTATTAGAAATAAGCAGTTTTCTAGCATCTTTATTATTGTTACTATGCTTTATGGACTTTGCTACCATATTTCTGTCACGTTGCTATCATGATAGTGTGAATTAGCATTTTACTTGCTTAATTGAACATTGTGAAGATGTATTAGCATTTTGGGTAATAAGCCTTTAGCCTTAAGCCTTTACAATGCTGTGTTAATGTTCACACCTTCAGTGAAAGTCTAATCTATTGCTTAGATTTGGTCATGTTTGAAAACCGAAAGTGGGATTAGTTTTAGAAAGCAAAGCATAAAGTCAGATCATCTCGAAGATCTGGCCTGAGTTTGTGGCCAATACTGTTCATAAATGTATATCAAGTTGAAGACTAAAACATTAGCCCTCCCGTGAAATTTGAATACTTTTTCAGATATTTCCCAAGGGCTGTTTAACAGATTTCTTAAAAAAAAAAAAAAATAATAATAATAATAATAATATATATATATATATATATATATATATATATAACCTATTTAAATATCTAATTTCTTTTGTCTTTGCCATGATGACAGTACATGATATTTTACTAGTTATACTACATCTTGACTACTCAAGAAACAAACAATATATGAAGGAGAAGTATGCGCTCAGGAATTTGTTTTGGTCAAATGTAATTGGAAGATGATTTGAACCTGTGATTCATCTGAGCATGTTTTCTCGACATGCTTGGACCTTTGTTTTTGCATTTCCTTTTTTCTTAATCCCTTTTTCTTCTCCTGTAAAAGCCTATTTAAATCTCCACATCTCTTTTTGTGTCTAGCAGAAGTGATATCCCGATTTAACCTTCTTCGAAATCGTTTTATTTCTGGCAGACGTGTTTGGCAAGAACAAGAAGCCCTGTTAAAAATGTGCTCAGGAATGTGAAGTGAAAGCTGGGGATTTTTCTTGAAGCCATTCTTTTGGGGAATCTGATGATATCTGGGCTATTAGGACAAGATCTTGTTTATTCAGTGCAATGTCTAGAACCTACTTTAGTTTTCTTTTTACTTCAAATCCATTCAATTCCTTGAAATACTGACTGAGAGTTTTCTAACAAATAGATCAGATATCATACTAGGCTTGTGTGCAGGTTTTAATAATAATAATAATAATAATAATAATAATAATAATAATAATAGTAATAATAAACTTTTTTGTATAGCACTTTTCCAACATACATGCAACTCAAAGTGCCTCACAAACAACAACAAAAGCATTAAAATGGACCACAAAAACTTATCACATATACTGAAATAAAAGCATTCATGTACACAAAATGTAAGTATATATCCTCATGATCACACACACAATAGTCCTTACATATGCAGGCACACACCATACATTACATACATAAACCTACAACAAAATAGATAAAATGCGTACACCTTACAAACTTGTTTAATCATACGCAATTTTAAAAAGATGTGTCTTAACACGCTTTTTAAAAAGATGAATAATCGGGGATTCTTTCACTTCAAGGGGGAGACAATTCCAAATTTTTGGAGCATAATGGCTAAAAGAAGTGCCGCCAGATCGCATCAGGTTTACAGGATAAAATTCTAAAAGTCCAGCACTAGAAGAGCGTAGCAAACGGTTTGGATTATATTTTGTTAAACAGTCGGAAATGTAGGAAGGTGTCATATTGTGTAGTGCTTTATAAACTAATAAAAGAATCTTAAAATCTATCCTTTGTTGCACAGGCAACCAGTGTAATTCTATTAATACTGGTGTAATGTGCTCTCGTTTCTTTAATTTCATTAAAACTCTGGCTGCTGCATTTTGTATCAATTGCAACTTCATTGTAGAACCTTTAGGTAGACCAGTATAGATAGCATTGCAATAATCAAGCCGAGAGAAAATAAAAGCATGAATTAATTTCTTGGCATTATCAAAAGATAGGAAAGAACGAATTTTGGCAACATTTTATTAAATGATTAAAACATGTTTTTGTAACTTGATTAATATGAGATTTAAAATTAAGATCACAATCGAAAATAACACCCAGTTTCTTCAATTCTTTTTTTGATTGTAAACCTAAAGAACACAGTTCTGCTTCAATCCTCTCTCGCTCAGGTTTTTTGCCCACAATAAGAATATCTGTTTTATCTTTATTCAACTTTAAAAAATTTGCAGTCATCCATTGCACAATATTGGACATGCAGTTGGACAAATTTTCCAATGCAGCAGTGTCTCTTGGCTCAACAGAAATATATAATTGAATGTCATCATAAAGATGATAATTCATGCCATATTTCTGAATTATACTACCTAAAGGAAGTATATATAATAAAAATAGACTTGGGCCTAGAATAGATCCCTGAGGAACACCATATAATATATTGTGTTCTTGCGATGTATATTCATCTATATTTACTAAGAATGTCCTTTCTGTGTCTTATTTAAATAAATGAGACTTTTTATTATTATTATAACTGTTATGTTTATCAAATGTATTTGTAATGTTTTTTTTTGTCATTTATTTCTTATCTACTGTATTATTTCATTTTCGATGGTTTTAATATATTACATATTTGAAGTGCTATTATTATTTGATTCTCATTTGATTATATATTGATATATTGTTATATAATATGATATGAAATCATATATTATTTTTATCTGATGTCAGCTGATCTCTTGTTTGTTTGTGTGTGTTTTTACAGTCGAATGAAACCGCCTGCCTCCAGCCAGGGCTCCATCTCCCCCCTCAAATCCTCCAAAGTCCCAGCGTCGTCCTCCTCCTCTTCCTCCTCCTCCTCAGTCTCTGCCTCTGCCAAGCGAATCGGCCGCTCTTCATCTTCATCCACCAACCTGAAGAGGTGAGCCTGACCTCTGTCCTCCTCAGCTCTCCTCCAGTCTTCTCCACATTTCCACTCCTCTTCTCTCACTCATCCACATCTTACACTTGCTCTTTGTTTCCAACTCTTTTTGTCTGACTGATTCACTCCTCGTCTTTTCTTTTCTTTCTTTCTTCCCTTTGCTCTCAGTTCGCTGGTGGCCTTCTTTCCTCTGTGTGATTATCCTATGATCTGAGAGCCGGAGTCCAGCTGGTTGCTCTCTGCTGCTGTTGGTGCTCTGCTCGTTCGCTGTTGTTTATGTAATCGGATATCTTTTGCCTACTACTGTATCACTCTCTCCAAACCCGTTGTTGGATGAAGTGCATGCATACTCGCTACTTTCTAGTACTCTGCAGAAAGCATTTTGGATAGCACTTTTCCACCTCTCTTCAGGCTAGGGCTGGGCGATGGGTAGGCGCAGTTCACCCAAAAATGTAGGTTTACATCGTGTCCTAACAACACACCACAACAGTCCAGTGATGAGCAATTTGGCTGTCTGCACCAAACGTGACATGACACAAACAATTAAATACCATTATTAATAGGCTTACTGAGTGTCTGGTGGTTTGCACCGAATAACAATTCTGCCTTTCGTTTGTCATAAATCTTCCGTAAAATGGTATTTAATCTCACATTGGTAGCATTTAACTCTGAATAAAGCACATAATCTGTACCTGAGGTGATTATTGTCACAGTAGTTTATGCTGTTGTTCAGCCACGACGTTGCTGAAATGGAAAGCATTTCTAAAATAGAAATTTTGCGCGACGACAACGAAGATGGTTAGGATAAAACTCCTTTTAACGTGATAAAAAGATACGTCGCAATGTCAAGTTGTGTGTTGTTAGGACACAGTGTTTCTCGTCATTTTCTTTTTGTTTTGTTATTGAACGGGATGCTATTTTTAAAAATGGTCATCGTTGATTTTCATTCAAAAACGTATACTATGGAAGGCAATAGCTACGGGTTATCAACATTTTTCTAAATATCTACTTAAATCTAAGTAAATGGTGGTGGAAATTTCAGTTTCGGGCGAATCATGCCATTAACCTATTCCAATATAAAGATATTAATGCTTTACATTGGTGAAAATGCACAATTTGATAATGTACATTGTTTGTATGTAATTTGCTTTGCCATAAACAACCGATTTAATCTGTGAAGGTAAAACAATAAGTGTTGTATAAGTAATTTTACATAAGCAGAAATTAAGTTTTTCCAAATATCAGAACATGAGGACAATCACAAAAGTGGTATTGATTTTTATTTTTTCATGCAACAAACCAGATATAAATATGTATTTAGTTAGATTTTAAACACAATAATATGTCTATTCCACAAATTTAGATAGTTATGAAAAACATTTAGCTTTGTTATTTACTTGACATTTAAGCTGGATTGTACATGTTTTCAAATTAACTTATTTTTATTTAAAATTAACTATTATACTAATTATATTAACTAATGTTGAGAGGAAATTTTCAGCTTTCATATAGATGATATTTTCAACATTTTTGTGTATTTAATTTTTTTAACACTTAACAATTGGAAGGAAAGCATCGACATAAAGTACAGTTCAATTTTTCTTTCATCAGCATAAATGGCAAAACTACATACTAATAAATTGAATCAATTGAGTCACAGCTACAGAACTGAATGTTTAAATCAAACATTTTTATTTACAAAACTGAACTATCAATTCAAATATGAACATACTTGGCATGGCGACCGTGTCAATACAAATTCCATTAAAATCAGTATTTACAAATAAGTAAAAAATAATATTGACGCTGTAAATCATTATTTGCAATTCTAAAACATGATCAGAACAACAAATGTATTAAATGTTTAAATAATATTTACTCAAAAAAATCACTTGTTACTTGTTCAAAGAACTTTTTTAAAATTAGTTGAAACAACACAATTACATTATTTTGGATGGAACAACTTAATTGTTTTATGATCAATATTCTAATCTTTTAAATTAGAAGAAAACAACTATGTTAACTTAATCAAATGGTGTTGGGACAACATGAAGGATTTGTGTTGAACCCAGCATTCTTTACAGTGTTGAAGTCGCCCAGCCCGTTTCAGACTTTTTTCTTTCTTCAGCAAAGTTTGTTTTCCCCACAATGCATGCTCTCCTCGTCCTTCATCCTAGACACAGCTAGGAGTATATTGTTGTCCTCCTTTCCCACACCCTTCATGTATATCCTCCTCCTCCCGTCCTCCAGCACCAGGTTAGCCAGTTCTCTGGGCAACCTATATGAACCAAACACTGAAAGCATCAGTTCCGGAAAGCCGCCTTCCCCGTCCTCGTTCACGCCCCATCCCGTCCGCACCACCTACAATTACCACTATGAAGTCAACAACAACAACAATCAGTATAGCACCACCAGCTCCCCGAGCAAAAGCCTGGGCTACAACCTGAACCACAGCGGCCCGAGTGGAGCGTCTGCCAATGCCCGGCTGTCGGCCGGTGAACAGGGGCACCAGCGGAACCCTCCGGCGGGGCTGAGCGGCCTGTCTACCCGACACCTCAGCCGATCCATTCCCGTAAGTCCTTTGTCCTCCCAGAAACACAATCAGCAGCAGCATTACAACATAACATGTTCAGCGGTGACTGTTGCTTCCTGAATAAATCGATTAGAAAATTATTAGATGTTAGGAGTCGAGCAGTGTTGGTTTCTATAATTAAAATAGGAAAAATTTTGATAAATTGGAAATTCTGATTGAGGAGTCGTTTTAAATTAAATGAATCATTATTGTGTTAATAAATTAACATAATATTAGTAATTATAGCTACGTAAAAATTAATTTACTAATTAATTGGTTTATTTTTAAACTTATTCATTAATAATTAAGGCAGGAGATTGATCAATTAAATTGTTTCAATTTTAATTTATTGGTCCTATATATTGTGTAATGTTTATTTCAAATTTAATGAATAAATCATTTTTTTTTATAATAAATTAACATAGTTGTTTAATTTGACTGGTCAATTCATTTTTGAACTTATTAAACTATTCGTTAATAACTATTATAGGTAACTGTGGATAAATTTAATTTTGTTTTTAATTTATTGGCTATATATAATGTGTAATGGTTTATTCCAAATTTAACAAATCAATTTTTTGTAATTTAGCATAATATAGCTGTTTAACTTGACTGGTCAATTTGTTTTCACATTTATTAGTTACTAATTAATATAGGATAATGTGATATGTTGAATTATTTAATAATCATAATAATACATTTTATTTGTAATGCATTTTTTTTTTACTTAAAGCACTACAGAACAACAGAACCACAATAAAAAACACAAAATATTCAAATTTTAACTTATTGGTCATATATAATGTGTAATGAGTTTAATTAAAATTGAATAGATCAATATAATAGTTTACAATAATTAATAGTTATAGTTATTAATTTTGTTAATAGTTAATAAAATTAATAGTTTGACATTAATATTATAGTTACATTTTAAGGTTGTACTAGTCAATTAATTTTTTCAACGTATTATTATTAAGATGTGAAAATGTGTTAAGTTGAATTATATATTTTTTAATTTATTGGTCATATATTTTATGTAAGGAGTTAATTCAATTTTAATGTATCATAAAAAAAAGTTTTTTTTTAGTTGCATTTAAAATTTGACTAGTCAAGTTATTTTTTTTACTTTTTCATTAATGTATGAGAATGTGTTAAGTTTTTAATTTAGGTCACATATAATGAGTCACATATAATGAGTCAATTAATTTGTTTACTTTTTAATTGTTATTATAGATTTAATTTATATTTCGTTTTTAATATATTGGTCAAATAAGAGTCAATTGATTTGTTTACTTAATTGTTATTATATTATATATATATATATATATATATATATATATATATATATATATATATATATTTCATTTTTTAATATATCGGTCATATACATATGACTCAATTTGTTTACTTTTAAATTGTTATTAATAAAAGACTTAAATTATATTTAATTTTTTCATTTATTGGACATATTATACACACACACACACACACACACATATATATATATATATATATATATATATATATATATATATATATATATATATATATATATAAATTTGATCAGTCAATCAATTCGGTTTTAAACTTATTAATGTTCTACATTTTTTCTAATTAAATGAAACCAATTTTTTACTTAATGCTGTAAAACTTAATTTGAAAACTTATTACACATCAGGAAAACATTGAAAGGAAAATCTGGAAATAAATATTAAGAAATTGAAATTTAACAAAACAAAACTAGTTATTAGTTAATATAATGGATATATTTAAACAAATAGAATATATTTTCTAGCAGTCATGTCAAAATTAAGAAATTTAATAATTATCAATTAAAATTAAAACACTATCACAAAATATTTACTAAAATTCTCAAAATTAGTTACTTGTTTTATTAATACGTTATTTTAAGCAAGATACATTAAATAGATTTGTTATAATATTGAATCAATTGATATCGATACCGAAAATAAAACATAACAAATAAAAGTTGTTAATAGAATTGATCATATATATATATATATATATATATATATATATATATTATTATTATTATTTTTTTTTTTTTGTTATTTGTTTTTTTGTTATTTGTTATAGTATAAACTAATAGTAAATTGGGATTTGAAATTGACAAACGATAAAAAATGTATAATTAACTTAAGATAATAGGCAGTCATTATTAAGGAGTTTACCTGAAGCAACAGTTACCGTGCTACTTTTTCTTTCTCTTGAAATCTTTTTTCTAAATCCTCTGCCTCAAATCTAACACCTGATCTACAGCAGTCTATTTATATTTAACAGATGCTCATAAACACTTACCAAGGCATGTTGCACGTAGTCTATTTTTAACAATTACACTCTTAACATGCATGCCATGTGTGTACTTCCACAGCTGACGCGTGTAGCTTTCTGTTCCTCTGTCCCTAGTGTGTTCTCATAAAGCTATTACTCAATTATCTAATGTTTACCTAATTGCCATTGTCAAGTGAGCTTTAATGGAGTGGTGGGGACGAGACTAATCTTTTAATTTCAAACTAATCCATTGCCCTTTAACTTCTGCCAGTGCATCCCACGCTGCACGAGAAAACAAATGCTAAATAAACTAATATTAAAAGGCACAGGGAAATGATGAAGGCTTTAAAATGTGTTTGACTGACAGCGCTGGTGTGGTTTGGCTACTAACAAGTACTTAAGGCACCTCAATGCTGCTGTTTGATGCAATGGGAGTGGTGTGTCCTGCAAAATAAATGCAAACGTATTGAATATTTGTTTGCATTTATCAAACAAATAGTCCCCCGGTTCAAGTAGTGCTGCACATGCTGTCATTTTTCACCATCTTCACGCAAAACACATTCAAATTTTAAATCGAATCCAGAATGAAACCAGTCGTATTCTTATTAGTCACTTAAAGTTTCTAAATGAATCAACAATTTTGAACGAATAGTTTGAATGCATGATTAAGTGAAATGTTCAATAATACAGAGTCCTGCCACACACTACTAGTAGTTTTATGGTTTTATTTATACATTTTGATTGTACTTTTAGTTCAGATCGTCTTTGTTCTGAATAAATGCTTGCATTAATCTTGCACTGATATCATTTCTGCATGTGAATGGCAAAATGCGCAAACTAAATAGTTGTACAAGTTAAAGCTATTGCTGTTGTCATGCTGAATTGTTGTGTCCTAAAAACGCATCTTAGCAGCAAAAAAACGCTGGTTATTATAATTTTTTCCTTCATTAAAATACACACTCACCAGCCACTTTATTAGGTACACCTTACTAGTACCTGGTTGGACCCACTTTTGCCTTCAGAACTGCCTTAATCCTTCGTGGCATAGATTCAACAAGCTACTGGAAAATTCCTCAGACATTTTGGTTCATATTGGCATGATATAATCACGCAGTTGCTGCAGATTTGTTGGCTCCACATCTATGATGCGAATCTCCTGTTCCACCACATCCAAAAGGTGCTTTATTGGCTTGAGATCTGGTGACTGTGGAGGCCATTTGAGTACAGTGAACTCATTGTCATGTTTAAGAAACTAGTCTGAGATGATTTGCGCTTCATGACATGGTGCGTTATCCTACTGGAATTAGCTATCAGAAGATGGGTACAACCCATCTGTTGCCTTTCAATCAGCTCGAACCAGTCTGGCCATTCTCTTCTGACCTCTGGTATCAACAAGGCACCCACAGAACTGCCGCTTGCTGAGTATTTTCTCTTTTTCGAACCATTCTCTGTAAACCCTAGAGATGGTTGTGCGTGAAAATCCCAGTAGATCAGCAGTTTCTGAAATACTGTACGTCTGGCATCAACCATGCCACATTCAAAGTAACTTAAAAAGGCTTTCTTCCCCATTCTGATGCTCGGTTTGAACTACAGCAGATCATCTATGACTATGTCTACTAGACTTGGGCGGTATTACGGTATTATGGTATACCGCGGGATCTTAAAATAGCAACGGGGTCAGTTTCAATACCTTTATACCGTCATAAAATATTAAATCTCCTTTATTTAATGCCTACAAAAACGTATGTGTGGTTGTCATCACGGGACAGTGTGGAGGAGAGAGTGAGAGGGAGAGAGGGGGGGGAGAGGGAGAGGGGGGAGAGGTGACATGACGTGACGTGACGAGTCGCGCTCCAAAGTGACCTGCAGTTTGGCAGTATTTCCGACGTAGTTAATATGAACGAAAGGTCTGCATTAGAGCTGAAGATGTTTGTCCGAACCCGACGAGACCTGAAAAAATCCAAATCCCTGCATTAAAATCCTTCCCTGCAAAGGTGAAACAAATTATGACGAAGTAGTAAAAAAAGCTAATTTTGACGGCGGTCAAGTCAGTCACTAGCTCAGAAGGAACAGTCATTCCAGCCGCCAAGGCATTTCGGCTGTTCTCATACACTGCGTATTACGGTAGAGCCCTAAACCGCTGACAGGTAAAAAGACGAGGCCACTCCACTCGCTACATTGAAACTGCTGCCATGGAAAATTAAATGGATGTTCCTGACTGGTAGAAGATGAACAAACAATCCTACCCAAAACTTGCAAAATCAGCCGGATCAGAACTCCTCCACAAACACACGTAGCCTAATCTTGGTGAGTAAAGGGTTTTTAAATTATAAATAAATATTAATTAAACCATATAATCATAATGTAGACAGAGTATACAGGCTAATGGTGGCATTATTCTTTTAATATTCAGCTTCACAGCCGCCCTAATGCCAGATTGTGAAGAGAAGTGGAGAAACAAATCTTGCACAGCCTTTATCTTAATTTCGTTGTTGCCAAAATACCCGGCATCATTTAGAGTTTATTTTAATTTGATTTGTTAAGCAAGATTTCTTTTCATTGGTGTGTTGGCCAATTTAAAGGCTAAGTGTATGTACCCAGGCCTATATAGAGTGCTGAGATGTTACGATGTTACAGCTGTAGGACTTATTTTATTTCTTTGTTCCAACTGCCAAGTGGCCAATAGTCTACGTTTGTTACGAATAAATGATGTTAAAACATATAAATGACTCATTCTTGAAAAAAATGCAATAGAGCTGTGTGCATGAGCACATTTGAATAATGTCGGGCTGCAAACGGGTTCGGGATTTATAAAGCTGTCAATCAAAATGTACCTGTCGGACTCGGGACCTATCGGGCCTAATTTTTATGGCCCGATTACAGCTCTCTGCGTTCCCGCAGCTGTACCACGGGAGCCGGACAGATTTCTTACGGTGTGGGAGTAAATTTCTGAATAAATCGCGGGAGAGGTGTGCGTGCGTGCGAGAAAGAGAGAGAGGTGCTCTTCGTCGCTTGGCAATTGGCAATTAACATGCAATTGTACCTAATAAAGTGGCCGGTGCATGTACATTTTTTTAGTTAAATAGTAACTAAATGTTAAATAGATCTACGTTGTATCTAGCATAATTCATTACACTAAGGATGGTACATTTTTATCATTTTAGGAACTGAATAAGATTTATTTCCCTCTGCATATTTTCGACAACTCAATAAAATCTTATTGGCTTCGTGAGCTTTTATCTTGTTTGCATTAGCTTGTAAGAAACACTTGTGTTGTGCTTTAAGTATGAGTTTGTAGCATCCATCGCGTGACCTGCGGACCCTCCGGCCGGACGGAAAGGTTGTAAGCTTGGTTTTAGTGCATTGTTGTTCTTGGACTTTCTCCCAGTACTTATGGAAGTTGTTTTATTGGCAGAAGTTCAGTAGCTTCCCTTACAATTTCCTGTTTCTGTCCATTGTGAAATCCAATGTAAGCAAATGCCACTGTTCTTGCTAATCACATGATTTCACAAGTTTCTAAGCAGACTTTCTCCCATTTATGTAATTTACGACCTGCTCATATCAAGCCATCCTGGAGCGCAGTGTGCTGTCTTTGTAGGGAACATCATAACGCCTCCACATACAGCAGGAGTGACTCAAAGTTTCACTGCAGTCATGATGAATATCGCATTGCATCTCGCACTGACAACAGAACTGCGGCGTGTTAAACATCCTTCCTCAAAGGGCATTCAGCTGACAACGGTTTTTTGATCCTACATGGCGTTTACAGGAAGAGATGTAATTTCTGTCGAGCTGCCATCTTCTTGCTGCTAAAAATGGCGTAGCACATGTAAATTAGTGTAGCACATGTTTTTCTCATTTCTAAATATAGTGATGATGTTGGACATTCAACGCATCAGTGAACGTGAACAACTTTAGCTGGCAGAGGCGAACTTGCGTTATATATTTCTTTGGATTGGGCTTGAACATGGTAAACTTGAGATGGTTGAGCTAGATTCCCGTAGGTAACATCATCAAAAATAAGTCAGATATACAAGTTATGCGTTCTTTGTACAGCACTTATCAGCCAAAGCAGAGCTTTACAAAACAATGTGTCGTGAAATAGTTCTAACTCAGTATTAAATCCCACTTAATTGTGAGTTTCATTTATTAAAGAACCAATATCCATATCTGTGCACATTGCAGACTGGAGGCCGGAAGTGTCGCTCTAGTACTAGAGATTTAAACATTTGTTTCTTATGAGAGGATAAACACCTGCCTTCTGCATTGTTTGGCAATGTATTTACAATGCAGCGGCGCCCATCTTTATTAAGATTCAGCATTACAGCATGAGTGCAAAAACATGCAAAATTTTACGTTTTTTAGTTTGTATTAATACTATACTGCTTTCATGTTGTTTTGTTGTTGTTTACCATTTGTCATTATATGCGATATCCTTCATATAGGCTTCAAATTTGAAAGAATTTATATATTATCAGTAACCATTAAGTTTGTGATAATTGAAAAAATTTTATTTGGTTAAAAAAGAATCACAACTGAATCCACCGTTCTGATGGGATCAGGATAATCCTGTTCTTTTGGATCAAATAGATGCTAATCAGAGTTCAATGTTTTAAATAACCCAAAGGACAGGTTTGATCTGAATCAAATGTAAGATTGGAAAAACCCATTTCTAAGATTTGATCCAATCTGTGATCTAAAACCCCAGTGGATTACCTTTGAAAAACTGGGCCCAGGGGCTCATGACGCTCTTAACTTCCTACAGTATCTCAAGGTCCAACCATATGAGCTTCAACGACTTCCATGCGACTTCTCCTGATGAGTAAAAAAATTGTGTATAAGCTCGTATGCCAGCGAATATTTCACCACGTGTCTCCAGATTGAGTGCACTTGTAATGTGCACAAACGAACATGGAAAGCTCAAACAATGTTTAATTGCGTACACACTTCTAAATAGTTCTAGGCGTATATCCACCAGTGTATATCTATCAGATGTTGTTGTAGCTACCATGCGCAACAATTGAATGCTGATAATACATTTGTAGATCGATGACGCAAAACGGGACACAATGCTTTTTGCTTAACGTTTGTCTGCTGTACACTTTTTTTTTTTATGAACCTCCACCCCTGTTGAGCAGTTATGAATAATTAGCATGTTGTACACCTGCGTCTTCTAACCCAAGTGGCCCTTTTTCTGCACAAAGTCTCCCCCCCTCACACACACACACACTCACACACACATTAAATGCAAATTCATTTCCTCTCTAAGCTTTGACTTCATCCTCATTTACATCAGCCAGGGCTGCGATAGTAATGTCTCAGGTTGGCTTTTTAGACTATTATTTAACTACCCTCTGCCATGTAATTTTCTGTAATTGCGTTCAGCATTGTAATCATTTTATTCCCCCCCCCCCTCTCTCTTTTTTGCAGTCCCTTCAGTCGGAGTATGTTCAGTACTAAAGCCGCCATTTTCCACTAACCCGTGGCGCCTTCACTGTGACCACCAATTCGGGGAATGAAGCTGAAAGGAGACACTTTTGAGACTGGTGTACGGTCAACCTTGCGAGGGCTGATCTGGAGTCTGCTGCCAGCTGTTAAATAACAAACTCGCCTTGGCCGTCCTTTTATTTTTTATTTTTATTTTTTTCTAAAAGGAGATTTTCCATGTATTAACATACATAGATGTCCTGAACAATATTTTTAAATGATTTTTGTACTATTTTATCTACAATTCTTATGCTCAGCATCAAGGTTTGTTTGGTATATTAGTGTATCTGTGGATTAGGGAATTTGCTCTGACGTAAATGTCACGTTTTTGTCTCTCTCGAGTATTTACCGAGTAACATATCAAGTGCGAGGGCTATTTTTGAAAGGTGCAAAATGGTTTGACAGCTATGTGTCGCCTTCAAAGGGGATTTTTGGGCAGCAGAAGCGATTAAAGAGTGTTGTGTTTTCTTCATTTGAGGTCTAAGGTGGACTCGTCTCCACGCAACAGTGGACGGCTAATGAGACCACGACCACGATTTGCAAGCAAACTTTATTTTTTCCTCTCTGGAAAATGAAGGGCTTTGTTTGTTGAGTAGGACTCAGGGTGGACTCCTTTTTATTTTACATATTTTTCTGTGTCGTTGTGACATCATAATGCGTGTTATTATCAAACTAATTCAGATCTGAGCTTTTAAAAAGCTTTAAGGGCTGTTGAAAACGCTTCATCTTCACGAGTGTCCTTTCACCAGCACTTCTGAAATATAACATCTCATGTACGAGTTGGTTTTATTAGCCAGCATTTTCTGCGAAATATGAATGATAAAGCATATGAAGAAATAGCTCAATCAAAAGCTGCAACTTTCTATTACGGCAGTGTTTCTCAACCACGTTCCACCAACACTGCATGTTTTGCATGCCTCCTTTGTCTGTCATACCCATTACAGATCTTACTGTCTCTGCTGATAAGCTGGTCATCTGAATCAGGTGTGTTTGATTAAGGAGACATGGAGCTGGTGGGACGTGGTTGAGAAAAACTCTTACAGTACAAGAGCTTGGGTTTAGGAGATGATGTGAATTACAAAATCCTTCATGTTAGTGCACATAATGAATGTACAGCTTAATACGACTTTAAATTCGGTTCATTTAGGACAGGGGTGGCCAATCCTGTTCCTGGAGAGCCACCATCCTGCAGATTTCAGTTGCTACCTATATCAAACACACCTGAACCAATTAATTAGGACCTGAACACCACATGATAATTACAGGCAGGTGTGTTTGATATAAGTTGCAACTGAAATCTGCAGGAAGGTGGCTCTCCAGGAACAGGGTTGGCCATCCCTGATTTAGGATGTTTACGGTTATGTGCAAACAATTCATCAAACAGTGTTTGTGTAGGTTTACCAGCAGATTTATGGAAAGAAAAACCTTTTGATTATTTATATACATCACCAAAAAAGCACAGTAGAGTCAATTCAACTTGAATTTATTTCGTTTGTGAAACACAAAATAATGTGCAAATTTACTGAGCTCTTTTTACAAAATGGGACTGTTGAACTTCAGATGTATCATAAAAATACTGGGTTAATTTAGTTTAAAAGACATTTTATGAAATTTTATTGCTTTAAAATGTACTTGGTGTGAAAATAATGAAGTAATCGCTATTCCAGTCATTTATTTTATAAAAGCTTTTCATTATTTAAAAAAAAAATTCTAATTAAAACAGCTTGATCCAAATGTGAAACTGGGAAACTTAATAGAAATGTCATCAAATCTGGCTACAGCAGAGGCCAAGCTTCTGTGCAAATTACAACAGTTTTATTATCATTTTTATTATTATTTTTAATCATGTAAAGCAATTTTACGTCTTCGTTATTATATAAATCTATTGAAATGTGACAAACCAGTTGATTGTGATGACAAAGTTAATGTACTCATTTACATTTGGACCTCAACAGCCCTATTCGTTTCATTTAATGAAATAAAAAGCAGCTCAAACACTTTGTCTAGCATCTTTTGTGTTCCACTGAGAAAATTATAAGTCATGTATGTTTATTTTAGGCGAGTAAATGATGACGGTTCATTTTTGGGTTAAACCAGCCCACATGTATTTGAACAAATACTCCATTTTTATGCAATTGTAGCTGATTTGACTGTTCTGTATCTGCGTATTTTAGCCCATGTAGCACTCTGTACATTCCAGACGGTGTTATGAATAATGTATGTGTATATATACGTTTTGGGAGAATCTTATTTGATTGAAGTATTCTACCTCTTTAACATATACATGATGTAAACTACTATCTTGCTTATGGAAAAAAAATATACATATATATATATTTTTGGAGCAGTGTGTAAAGAAAATCTAACAATGTTAGAGCAGTGTTTGCTTTTCACATACTAGATGCACATTAAAATACAATGTAGTGGGTTGTACATTACTCTATTTTTCAATGTAAACATGATTTTGAAGAGCCGAATGAAAATAAAAGACAAATTTTGCTTTAGCCTGTTTGGTTTCCTCCCCTCCTTCCTGCTTTTTCTGTCAAGCGCAGATTTATAATTAGTTTTCTTTCACCAATTATGTTTTCCTGTGACTGAAATACATTTTCTTTTAAACCGTTCCACGAAAATAAATGAAGCAGCGATGGTAAACTCTCCTTGACAACCAGCAAAGTGTGAACTGCAGATCGCCACACACATTTGTGCACCAAAGTCTTTCATTTTGAGTGTCTCTGGCAGCAGGCGTCGGGTCGTGGGCGTCTGGAGACAGCTGTGAAAATGGCTGCTAGTCGAGTGACTGTTCGCAGCTATGATTTCGCTTGGTATTTCCAAATGTCAGTTTAATTTCTGCACGTTTTGATGCTCAAATATGTGTCACGAATTTCCCTTCCTAGTTTTAGAAAACCATCTTTTCTAAAAAAAAAAAAAAAAAAAAACAGGTGTAAAATAGATGTAATGAAAATTTAATTGAAACTGTGGCCTTGTGTTTTTGCCCTTTCATTGAGTGGCCTTGTGCTTTTTCCGAGCCCTTTCATTGAGATTATAAAGGTGTAATGTCTGTCTTTTTGAATACGCATTAAGCTCAATCATCAACTCAAAGAAAATAGCAGGTTTCAAGGCTGCTGTTGGACTCCATATAATAATAATAGTGATTTAATTTCTTTGAAATGGTTCAAAACTGTCATGGTTGTTCTTTCCGACTTTTGCACTTTGAGAATTAGATGAAGAAAATAGTCATGCAATCTGTTTTTTAGTGCGGGTTCTTCCATCCATCACTGTTGGGTTTGTCAATATTTGAGTTCGTTCTTACAACGAGAGAAGAAAATATAACCTAATCTAATAACCATAATCTGACACTGGTTTAAAGGGATTGTTCAGCCAAAAATAAAATGATACTCCCCCTGAAGTAGTTCCAAACATTTGTTTCTTTCTTTTGTTGAACACAAAAGAAGATATTTTGAAGAATGTTAGTGGAATCTATAGGGAAAACGGATGCTATATGGAAGTCAATGGCTACCATTTTTCAAGCAAGTTCAAAGCAAGAAATACATTTTATTCTGTTTGTGACCAATGAAGGTGTGGTTAAATGATAATACCTTTTAATTATACCTTTAAATTATACCTTTTAATACAGCTAAATAGCTAGTGTGAGATTGTTTTTCTCGTAAATCAAAAATGCAACTCGTTGGAAAAAATGAATAAATCTTTTGAGTTGGTTCTTACAATGATTTAGAGACAAACACCAAGACAAGTCCAATTATTAAACTAATCCTATCCAGTAATAATAATAAATCCTTGTATTTATATAGTATTTTTCTAAACACTCAAAGTGCTTTACACATTTTTTGAGGGAATCTACTTATCCTCCTCCAGTGTGCAGCATCCACCTGGATGAAGCGATGGCAGACATATTGTGCCAGACCACACACCAGCTGATTGGAGACAGAGTGATGAAGCCAATAATGATATGGGGATGGTTAGGAGGTCATGATGAACAGAGGCCAGTGGGCAAATGTACCCAGGATGCCAGGGTTAAACCCCTACTTTTTTGGGGTTTTTAACGCCCACAGAGTCGGGACCTCTGCTGTAACGTCTCATCTGAAAGATGGCGCTCACTGAGCAGTATAGACTCCCCTTCTAATAACTTGAATGGCTTGGTTATTTAGAACTTACTATGCAATCTGTGTAATAATTTCTAAAACGATACTTTAACATCTGAGTCAAAGAGAAGTTTCACACACTAATTTCGAGAGGAGAATGTGATGATTGCGGCTGGTCTCCAATCCGCAATCATTTGGAAGCCAATCAGATTAATCAAAACTCACTATAACTAGCCTGTCTAAAACTACTCCCTTATTTTCATTTTCTGAAGACACCCGCCTCACCCCCCACAATCGTCCCTCGTTTTTTAACATATTTTATTTTATTTTTTTTATAACCAGGAGGAGCTCTCAGGAACTACCTGATCTCATACCCCTTTACATGATTTTGACTAGGCAGGACCCCTGGGCTCAATTATCTCCTAGCTTAAAGTTCTCTCCCTGGACAGAATGCCAAACTAGCTTATATTATTAGGCAATATCTAACTTTGAAATCTTAAATTATTTTATTTAATTATTATAATTATTTTTTTGTCAATCAACAACTCAGCTAGTGGTTGTCTACACTCTTAAAAAGCTGGGTTGTTGGTTAACTTTTTCCAGTTACTTTTAAATTACACTTCTTAACCGAATCATATTTGACCCAACATCGGGTTACAACAACTCAGCATTTGTGTAATTTTTTGAGTGGGTTATTTTTGTTCAATCGAAGCAAGCAATAGTCTGATTTGTGTTAATTTTTACTGCATTTAAATGGGAAATCCATTTTCAGGTTATCAAAAACAGTTACGAATCAAAGTGAACTGAACCAGTAATGGGTTAAAATAAAAATATGTGTATTCTCATGTTTCAAAAGCTGTAAAGAATCAGTCCTCTCTTTTACTTTGTATAAAACTAAGCAGGATGAACATTTAGCTAAGCATATTTTTTATTCCACAAACAAAAAAGCCTTTGATTAGGGGTGCTCAACCCTGTTTCTGGAGATCTATCTTTCCGCAGAGTTCAGCTCCAACCCTGATCAAACAAACCAATTAATTAGGACCTGATCAACACTTCATAAGTACAGGCAGGTGTGTTTGATATGGGTTGCAACTGAAATCTGCAGGAAGGTAAATCTCCAGGAACAGGGTTGGTCAACCCTGCCCTAGATTACTGAAACGACAAAGGCGGATAAAAAGTGCCAAAAAGCAGAGCTGTGATATAATAGAAACGCTATTGGCTGTTTCTTAAAAAGGGGAGGGGCTACTATAAGTCAAATATCAAGCTATGATGCAGATTTCAACGCACTTTATAAGACCTTTAAATTAGGGCTAGGCTATATAGCAAAAATGCAATCTCGATAATTATTTTCCAAATTGAACGATAACAATATATATTTCAATATAAGTTGTTAACACTTCTCGATTTAAAAGAGTACCCCAAAAAAGACTAATGCCACTAAAATAGCATAAGATTTTCAGTCGATATATTTTTGTTGGATGAAAATTCGGTGCATGTCTAATATCAACACTTTTAGATTCCCATTGTTGCACATTTCTGCTGTGTGATTAGCTCTTAGAACAATATAGAGTAAAAAAAGGGCCGAGCTTATCATTATTATTGACAAATTTTATCGTGATCTGATATATCATTTATTTGGCCCAGCCCTACTTTAAATACTTACCCTCTTTTGAGTTTGGTGTATTCTTTAAACAAACCAACATCATTTGTACTACGGTGCACTCATATGTTCAAATGGAAAAATAAAGACTCTGAGGCAGTTTTTCTCAGTGTGTCAGAATATACAACATAATCATCGTTTCAATTCTAAAGTTAATCAAATCTTTTTAAAGTTCACAAAAAAAAAAAAATCCCAAAATGTGAATAAGGTGTGTTGTTATGCAGCTGACTGTAACCTAGCAACAGTCAGTTATCAAGGCAAGCATAATAGAGTAAGCTGATTAATCTTTATAGTGGGTTAACAGGAGTTAAAAGAAACCCTGCTGTTTCTGGGAATCACTGTATCGCGGCTATCGCATTCTCTTATTGCGGTCAAAAGGTGCATTCTGAAGAGAAACACCGAATGGATGATCGCATGATCATGGCTTGTCTCTGTGGGCTCCCTGTTCCCTTGGCTTACGTCTTTTTGGTATCAACAAAAAGTTGTCGCAACTCTGCCGACGGATCCTTCGCAGTCGTGTCCGCATTGGCTGTTTTTTTTTTTTTTTTTATCAAGTTGTTAGAGCAGCTGACTGTAGTATTGGTAACCTAGCAACAATCCGTAATCAAGGCAAGCATAATAGAGTCAGCTGATTAGTCACGTGGTTGTAGTGTTCACATTATCAGAGTTTATTCGGCAAATGTGTTTCCGACTCCCATTTTTCACGTTAACCGTTTTTGCACAAATCCAAAACCACCTCAAGTGACCGTAAAGACTTCACAAATTACATGTAAAATTCATATTTTTATTTTAAATTTGCAATTTTCAGCACTTGTGTCGGTGGTCATTTAAAATGCACATTAACACACAGGCGACTGAAACAGTTACTGTAGGCTGACAAAAGACCAGACTCATAACTTTTTTTGTCAATCAAATAATTATAACAAAGGGTAGTCTGACTCTTGAACAAAGGACTCGTGACTTGAGTCAGTTCTTTTTATTGAATCAGATTTTTCAATAGTCTGATTTCCTACTATTTATTATTATTATTATTATTATTATTATTAGTGCATCACCAGCAGTAAAATATTTTGTTTTGTATTAAAAAAAAACAGAACAGGATCAGTCAAATCTAAATTAAAATAAAACATTTCTAATTCTAAAAGCTGCACAACATCAGTCCTCATTCGCATAGTATGAAATAGAGCAGCACAAACATTCTGCAAAACATCCCCTTTTACGTTCCACAGAAAGAACGACAAAGAACGCCATAGGAGACAGAAATAACATTAATTTGCATATTAAATTTTTTCTTTAACCAAATCGGCATCCTTTTTGAATCAATAGTAGATAGACTCCACGTATCCCTCCTGTTCCTAAACATTCTCATTATAGTGTGCGCTATTGATTACAGCCTCAATCCTCAATGAATAATTATTTGCCTTCGCCGTGATTGTGCACCCCCTGGGGATAATGAAAGACACGTGAGAATACAGCGTGGGCTTTTGTTGATCTCACGCCTCTTCGTATTCTCTCTCACACACACACACACACACACACACACACACACACACACACTCATATAAAGCCTGAATCTCCATCGCAGCATCGCCAAAGGGAGCTTTGCTCTCTCCCGCGCACGATTCTCCACACAAGATAAGATGAGATGACAGGATCTCCACCATCATGCCAAACGACACAGACGTGCCGCTATTGGCGTGTGAATTGGGACGTGGCTCTCGCATCTCTCTCGCCACCGTCTACT